GACCTCATGCCATCCCAGACAGATGGCTGTCCAACCTTTTCTTGAAAACCTCCAGCAATGGGGCACCCAGAACATCAGGAGGCAAGCTGTTCTACTGCTTAATGGTTCTCACTGTCAGGAAATTCTTCCTTATTTCCAGGTTGGATCTATCCTCTGATGAGTTTCTACCCACTGGTTCTTATCTTACCTTCAGGTGCAATGGAGTATAACTCAATGCCTTCTTCTCTGTGGCAGTCCTTCAGATATTGGAAGACCACTATCATGTCTCTCCTCAGTCTTCTCTTCATTAAGCTACACATACCTAGTTCAGAACTGGACACAGAACTCCAAGTGTAGCCTCACCAGCACGGTATACTGTGGTACTATCACTTCCCATGATCTTGATGCCATCCCCATTCATGCAGCCTAGGACTGTGTTGGCTTTCTTGGCAGCTGTAGCACACTGCTGACTCATCCTTAGGCGGTGGTCCACCAGGACACCTAAATTCCTCTCACATGTACTACAGGTACCACCTATCCTGTACCTGAGCATCTGGTTTCTCCTGCCTAAGTGTGGGGCCTTACTTTATGGAGAGGAGGAGAAGCTACAGATTCCATGCAAGAGAGGAGGGCAACTGAATGTTAGTTGTCTCTCATCTTTCCCCCACTTCAAACAGCCTGGATAGGCTTGGGTTGAAAATGCCCCATTTTTACTATATGTACACTGTACATATTAACTCTAGAACTACAGGAAAAGTGTGTACTATATGGTGTCAATACAGAAATCTCTTAATCTACTTTGGCATTTTTCCGGCATGTAGATCCAGCCCCTTTACTGAGGCACTTCTATGCCCCTGCTGAGACAGCCTTGACAGGAGTGACTAAGGACTTCAGGTGGTTCATGATGACCATTGGTCTGTCCCAAGTGGTAGCTGGCCCCACTCATGCTACAGATCACACTCTGACCCTGTTTTTTTATTTTTATTTGTTTTTGTTTTTAATTCAGCAGAATGCTTGTGATCTGGGTGTGGAGTAATTCCCTGTCAAGGACAGATCATTAGCTGGTAGGCTTCCAACTCTCTGCAACTTACAGTCTCCATAGGAGTGGGGAGCGGATCATCATCCATCTCAGGAAAAATGCCAGATTTGAATGGTTTCCTGATGGCTCTTGAGGAATTTCCTGTTGCTTTGGCAATTAATCTATCTGAAAACCTGGCTGAACAGTGAAAAGGCCAGAGCTGTAGATGGAATGGTTTCTTGTCACAATAGCTACTGGTTGTTTCAAGACACAATTAGAAGTCCTGCTTTTGGCCTATAAAGGCCTAAATTACTTGAGCTAAGGCTATGTAGTGTGCGTCTCCCCATCCGAGCTTTCACTGATTTTACGATCTTCAGTGAAGGCCTTTTTCTTGGTTTCGCCACCCTCAGAGAACCACCTTGTGAGGGCCCATGAGAAGGCTTCTCAGTGGCTGATCCCAGCTTCTGGAAAGCTAGACTGGCCCCTTCTTTGTGCCCTTCTTTCTTTATACACAGGTTTTAAGTAACTGGTTGCTATGAAAGAAATTTTAATGGGAAATTGTATTTTTAAAATATCTTTTAATTTGTGCTTTTAGATTGCTTTAAATAGGTTTTTATTCACTAGGATGAATAAGTAATATGATTGCTTTTTAATAATGTCATTTAGCTTAGCTGCTTTGATATTGGTGTAAGCTGCTCTGGATCCCTTGGTTAGGAATAAGGCAGGACTTAAATTGAATAGAGAACTAAATAATTTTGGATGGAGATTCAGAATGAGAAAAATCTATCTATGCACCATACTTGATTGATATCCGAAATTGCATTATTGATATTTATACTGATGTTAACAAAGACAAAAGCATTAGCTTTGCTTTCTATGGGCTGCAGCTTGCTGGGAGATGGCTAGGTGGTGAAATGATACATGAGCACCACTGACTTTTGATATAACATGTGGTTTTTAACATCAGCAGAAAACTTTACAGAACAGATTATAATGTCCAACGTAGAGACAAACACTGACTTTTTAAATACAATGTTGTACCATTCTATTCTTCACACAAGAAGCAACAGCTGTCGCATCTAAGGGGCAAATATGGTACTGAAATGAATATGTCCAAGTGCAGAAACAGAAATCATGTAGCACTCGTTATTCAGTTTTATTGAGGAGAATGGCTGTCAGAGAGAGGGCCTTTGCAGGCTTGACATCCGAAGTGCATCCCCAGTGCTTTTTTTAAAGCTTCTTTTAGACATCAGGCAAAGCATGTCTTGTTTTCTCATGCCTTTAGTGAATTTTCAGTAACGTCTACTAACGAGAAGGGAAATGTAGTCCACCCAAAAAAAAATATCCCCTAACATAAGCTTCCCTACTTTTAAGATATTCAGGAGAGGCCATTCTCTCACGAGGACTTGAGAGAGGGCCTTTTTGAGCTCCTTTCCATGGCAGGCTGGTTTGCCCCATCTTTTTGCTACTAAGTAATGACCATTCTCTTCAGCCACGTTTTTGAAATTTATTTATTTATTTGATTTATTTGATTCATACCCCGCCTATCTGGACTGCCAGCCCACTCTAGGCGGCTATGGGCTGCAGAGAAAGGTGCTTTTCATGGAGACGCCAATCTTTTACATCACTGGTCCCCAGCCTTGGGCCTCCAGAGGACGCCAATCTTTTACATTGTACAGTATTTGAAATATTTTTAGTTGTTCTAATTTAGTCATCTACTGAGCCAGTGTAGTGTAGTGGGCAGAATATCAGATTAGGACTCTAGGACTCACATTCAAATTTGTGTTCAGCCATGGAAAGTCATGGGAGGGGTAGCAACAATAAACAACTCCTTAAAACACCTTACACATCAAGAAAACCCCTAGGATGGTCACCATGAATGGAAAGGGACTTGACAGTACATTAAAACAATAACAAAATGTCTATTATGCATTTATTTCTGTTATTTATAGGCTTCATTTCTACAATAAACATAAAGTAAGCACTCCACAGTAACTCTCCTTCATTCTGTCCCATTCAATGGCTGATTAGCCTGCCTTTAAAAGGAGTTTTCATCTGTTGTCAGAAGAACATTACAATTAATATTTAATTGCATTTTCATGTTATAATTTATTTCTCATAAAAAAAAAGGTTTACTAAGCTAGTTTGTGCCCCTGCATTAGAAGACAGACAGGCTATAAATGAAATCGATCAGACAAGGATCTATGGGGCATACATTAGGTCAAGGATCGGAAGCATTTTACCAATCAAATATTTCACCTGCAGTTGGAACAAAGGACAATGATTATTCATACATGTGACAGTGATGTTACCACTTTATGTTGGGGCTTTGGTGTTCTACCATAGTCACACAGTACTCACGTTTATTAAAGTTGGGTAATGACATAAAATCTGTCTGGATATCTCACTGAGTTGGAGCACTTAGTGGTCATGAGTGTGATTCCCTAGTGTGCCTTTCAGGACAAGAGTCAGTCTGTATGGCCCTGGGCAAATTGAACAGCCCCCAGGATAATAAGAAATCATCCTGATTACTTTAT